GAAGAGTTACATGTTGCCCAGATAGGATTAATCCAAGTCAAGTTGCCACAGCCTGTTCTTCTCCTCTCTACAAAAGCTAACTGCATCCACAGTTGAGTCTGTCTTCAGCACCAGGGATGAGAGAGCAGCCTACATCATAGTTGAAAGCAGAGCTGCTGGACAGACGCAGGTCTTTCCCTTCTCCAATCCTATTCTGCCTGATCCATGAGAAAGGTATTGTAGCAGTGAGCCCACCTGTGTACCCAGAAACTCAGAAGTGGACTCAATAAAGGACACTCAGCCACTGCAAGGCAGCAATAGTGCTGATCTCACTGATGGTTGCAAAACTCAGAAACAGTTCCCGAGTGGACCACCTTCCTTTCAAGGTTTATGTCCTACCACCACTGTCCTCAAGATTTACTTTCAACTGGCAAGCTGCAGATAGCCATCCTGACATGATACGCAGGAACCGACTGAACCCATTTTAAAGATTGCCCTTCACCAGAAATCAGTGAGGCTAACTGTAGGGCCTTTTTAAAAAGAGGCAGATTCTCAGCCTCACCCACTGCAACGATAAGCACAGATGCAGAATAATGGACGGAGAGCAGTTACGTCTGACTTCACCAACATCTGCAACTTTACTAGAAGCTTTTCACCCAACAAAACTGGCATCTGCTTTTCTTCTGTACTCCTTGGGTGCTTAAACTTTCTTTCATGGCTCTTTTTAGCTTCCTTTATTCTTGGAAGTGGCAGATGCCCTCGGTGCTGCTATTTGCTGTTGCAGAGTTTCTGCAGCCTCTTTAGCTGTCTACACTTCCAGACCTGAAAAAGTCTCTCAGGGAGAATTCCCTCCAGATCTGTTGCCTTGAGATTTAATTGCTGCATTGGAAGCCAGAGATCCTGCAGACCACTGGAGAGATGATGGTAACAATGAGGGGGGGGAAAGCCTTCACACACAGCCTTCAGCCTCTTGCAACTAAAACTCTACAAGAACACTATTTTATATCTATTTCTCATTGCCTTCCCACCCAATTTGAAAAAATAACCGCAATTGCAATAGCACAGACTTATATACAGCTTCACAGTGCTTTACAGCCCTCTCTAAATGGTTTACAGAGTCAGTATATTGTCCCGAACAATTTGGGACCTCATTTTATCGATTTTGGAAGGATGGAAAGCTGAGTCAATCTTGAACCAGTCAAGAGCAAACTGTTAGTGGTGAGCAAAGTTAGCCTGCAATGCTGCATTCTAACCACTGCGCCACCACAGCTCTCACAAGTAAGGAAGTTGTGAAGTGCTCATAGAAATGCACTTAAGATCTCCACTAAAAACAAGATTAAAATGTCGGCTAAGGGATGCATCCCATCAGTCTTAGCAATAGCACTTAGATTTATATACTGTTCCATAATGCTGTACAGCATTCTCTGAGCAGTTTTCAGTGTCAGCATATTTGCCCCCAACAATCTGGGTCCTCATTTTACCAAGCTCAGAAGGATGGAAGGCTTAAGAAGAACTGAAACAATATCGGCCACTAAATGTGGATCCTCATGGATGGAGGAATTCCAGGTGCTGAGTGTCCATTGAATGATGAGGTTGGATCACAGTTATGTTCTGTGCTCCAGCCACATTGTTATAGAGCAGAGGTCCCCAACCTTTTGGGCATCAGGGAGCGGTTCCATGGAGAAAGAGTGTGTGGTTTTGTGTGCTGCTTGCATCCCACGGATGGCGCTTTGTTTGTGCGGACTGGTTGCTGGCATGCCGCGGCCCAGTATCGGTCCACAGCCGGGGGTTGGGGACCCCTGTTATAGAGTTCCCTCCAGTCCAGATTAGAGCCTGTTTTCTCTTGAGCCATCATCCTTTCTTTCTGCATGGCCAGATTTTATTTTCCTGCTATTTTGTGATGGGAACCTGTACATCTGAAAGATTACTCTTCCACGCAGTGAGGACCCACTAAATCCAGAAAGTGTCTGTCCAATCAAATTTGTAGCAGTGACCCTCTCTCCCCATATCCCCCCAAACCACCAAGCATGGGGTTTATTTGTTCAAGAGCTGCCTAGCTATGCCCAGTGGATTAACCCCACCCCCCCCACCCCCACCCCCGCCAAGGCTTCCAAGGTTTTTCAGGATGCAGCTGGAGTTTGCAACCCCTCCCATGCGTAGAGTGAATGTGTGCAACACTCTTCAATTAGCAAGTGGATTGATCAGTTTTCTGCATTCAAACAATACACAGAATGTTAAAGAAATGCAACGTGCTGGTTTGCACCAGGTGCTAATGCAGAGACAGACGGAAGGACTTCTACCCAAAGTCCAGCTTAATCATGCCTGGCCTAATGGGGGGCTAGCATAATGTTGTGGCAAGGGGCTTTTTGCCTCCAAATCCTAGATCCAGAGTATTGTGATGTATTTCTTAGGAGCAATCATGACATCAAAACAAGAGAGGTTATGAGTTTTTGAGCCCTTTGGGCTTATCCTGCTATCCTAGTCCTTCCGCCTTTCCTTTCCTTTCCTCCTTCCATCTATCTATCTATCTATCTATCTATCTATCTATCTATCTATCTATCTATCTATCTATCTATCTATCTATCATCTATCCCTTCCTTCCTTCCTCTTTCTTTCTTTCTTTCTTTCTTTCTTTCTTTCTTTCTTTCTTTCTTTCTGATATCCTAGTCCTTCCTCCTTTCCTTTCCTTTCCTCTATCTATCTATCTATCTATCTATCTATCTATCTATCTATCTATCTATCTATCACCTATCCCTTCCTTCCTTTCTCTTTCTTTCTTTCTTTCTTTCTTTCTTTCTTTCTTTCTTTCTTTCTTTCTGATATCCTAATCCTTCCTCCTTTCCTTTCCTTTCCTCCTTCCCTCTATCTATCTATCTATCTATCTATCTATCTATCTATCTATCTATCTATCTATCATCTTTCTTTCTTTCTTTCTTTCTTTCTTTCTTTCTTTCTTTCTTTCTTTCTTTCTTTCTTTCTTTCTTTCTTTCTTTCTTTCTTTCCCCACCTTCTCCTTGAAGCATCCACAGGGACTGAGCAACAACAGGAGGGGGAGATAAGACCGGTTAGTTCTCTGAGAAAGAAGGAAAGAGAGATTCCAAACGCCCCCTGCCCACATTCCGCAATTCAAGAGGAGGGCACCGGGTGAGTATCCCGTCCCCCCCCCCTCCCACGCCCCCGCGCCCTCTCCAAATTCCCTTTATGGAGGATGGAGAAACGGAGACGCAAACATCCCCCTTCGCTCTCCAGGCCCAGCAGCAGCAGCAGCCCTTCACCCAAAGCCGGAAATCGATCTTGAACTGAATCAACTAGTCTTTCTCCCGTTCGCTCCCCGCTCCGCCATCACCCCCCCCCCCGGCAGCATCACTCACTCACCACCGCCTCCTGTCTTCTCGGCCTCAGTGCCAGCTCCGGCACCCCTTCTCCGGCCTTTCCAATGCAGACTTGCAGCTGGGGGGGGGGGGGGACTGGGAGAGGGTTTCTCCCCTTCCCTCTATCTCCCCCTCCCTTTCTTGCTTCCTCAGCTGCTCTAGACTAGAAGACCCCGCTTCCTGCCTTTGAACCATAGGGGCAATATTTGGGTTTTGGGGGAGGGCGGGGGGGGCATCTGATTGACCGCCGGACCACCTAAATCTCCCTCCTTTCTCCCCTCCCTGTTTCCCCCCCACACACACACACACGCCGGTTCATTTTCCTTTCCTTTTAAAATCCCTTCCCCCCCCCTTTATTTTTTTTCCCCGGGGTCTCTCCGGGTCATGAATGGCTTTATATATATATAAAAAAAAGCAGGCAGGAGAAAGGGAAAGTGACGGCCACTATTGCTGGGGGACGGAGGGGGGGGTGGATGGGTTGTGGGGGGGGGGCATCTCGCCCTGCAGCCGGGATGCCAGTGCGTTTGCAAGAAGTGGGGGGGGGGAGGTCCACGCGTCGGAGGCTCCCTGGCATGTAGAAAAAAGGGGGCGGGATTTGAGAGAAGGGTCTTAGCTTGAGAATAACAAACACACACACACACACACACACACACGCTCACGCTCACGCCCCGTTTATTTCTTGTTTTGCACAAACTTGAAGCCCAGTTGCGCTTTGCGGGGGGGGGAAAGCAGGGGGATCCACCCAAAGACCCGCCGCCGCCGCCGCCGCCCCCCCACTAGGATGTTAGCCCGGCTCGCTCGGGAAAAGCTTTGCAAAAAGGAAGGGGGCTCCGTTGCACAGCCGACGCCCCCCCCTCCCCAGCCCCTTGCTCCCCAGTTGGGACAAGGCTGGCGCGAGACGAACGTGGGGAAGCGCACTTCGGGGACGCTGGTGTCTCGCGGGAGGCGCTTCCCCACCGGCTACTCTCCCCCCCCTTCACACACACACACACACACACACACACACACACAGGTTCCCTCTTCCTCCGACCCCCACCCCCACCCCCAGCCTCTTCCCTCCAGCTTCCTCTAAGCCTTTTCGACCAGACGACCGAGCAGGCAAGCAAAAAACGCCTCCGTGGCGGACAGTTCGGGTCTGCCTTTCCTTTTACCCCACCCCCACCTCCCACCAACCCCCTCCCCACTTTGGATGGCGCGAGGGGATGCTGGGGTGTCTGTGGTGGGGGGGGCGTGTCGCTTTCAAACGCGATCCTTTGGTTTCGGGGAGCCACAGTTTTCATTTTCTTTCCTTCCTTCCTTCCTTCCTTCTTTCCTTCCTTCCTTCCCTCCCTCCCTCCCTCCCTCTCTCTCTTCCTCCCCCCTAACCCCACCCCCGCCGCCTTCTTTTCGGAACCGGCCTCGCTCCGGAACGTCAGCTGGCCAAGTCACCCCGCCTGGATTGAGCAGTGTGTTCGTTGGAGACCCGAAGCGAGGGGGTTAAAAGAAAAAAGAAGAAGAAGAAGAAGAAGGAATCCAGCCCTTTGATTTCTGCTTTTAATTCGGACCTTGCATCGCTAAGGAGGTGGGGGGGGAGAGAGAGAGAGAGAGAGAGAGAGAGAGAGAGAGAGAGAGAGAGAGAGAGAGAGAGAGAGGTTTCAGATCTGACTGCTGGCAGGCGCAAAGCAGAGCGGAAGAGAAAGAGGAATATTGCAGAGATAACGCGTCTCCTTTGGAAGAAAAAAAAAAAACCCTAGAGAGGGCGGAGGGGGGGGGGAAGCCAAAGCATCTTAGGTCTCCCTCGAAGATACGACCTCAGATGGGTCTAGCCAGCCGCTTCTGGCTTTCTTCCTTCTCTTTGGACGCCAGGAAACCCCATCCGACACAAGGAAGTTGAAGCGGGGGCTTCGCCCTAGGCAAAGCGGAGACGGGAGAAAGAAGCCGATCAGATTTACCCTTCTGTTCTCGGGATCCAAGCTTCCAGACCTCATGACCATTGGATTTCCTTGGGGCCACCTGGATGTGGATTTAATTCGAGCTTCCAGAAGCAAAGGAGGGGGGAGGCGAACACCACACTGTTGAGCCGGCTGGACTTGGAAGGGGGTCTTCATTTTTATTTTTAGAAGCCGTCTCTGGTTTTGTTTTGATGATGATGATGATGATGATGATGATTTAACAAAATCCCGGACCGGTTCGGTCGCCACCTCTCCGTCTAGCTCTACAGTTTGCCATGGGATTGAAGATTTCCTAGCCTGGCGGTGAGGACCACTCCTCCAATTTTTTTCCCCTCTTGTTCATTTGCACCTTAAAGGATACATATATGAGATGGAAAATCGAGGGCTGTTCAGTGCCCTGTGTTACTTGATGCTCCATGCTCCCTTGATGGTCCTAGTCCAGGGTAAGTGGCCAACTTCTCACCTTTGTGTGTGTGTGTGTGTGTGTGTGTGTGTGTGTGTTTTGCTCTAGGTTGCAAAATAAGGCAGCCAGTTGGAGGAGGGGGCGAATGTCAGAGAGCCTACCCTTTTTGTACGTTGCCACAGTTGTTGTTTTGTTTTTGAAAATAAAAAGAAGGAGAAAAATCAGTGCAATGTTTATTAACACATCTGTTTTCTGAAAGGCAAACACCGGGTGAAATTGCTACGCACCGTTTTGCAGATGGAGGATCAGAGAGGGAGAGACGGAGGAACAGAGGGAGATTGACTGAGTCCCCCTTTGGGGCAGCTCTGGCTCGTATGCAGCCCCCCCCCCCGGGGTTGCAAATGCAAGGATCCGAGGCTGAAGCCAACGGGTGCATGCAGAAAAACACAGCCAAAGCTGCAGGGTTCGGGGGCCAGCTGCGCTACTGCTGCAGAGAGCGAGGAACCCAAAGCTAAACGGAGACGGTGGGAAATGGGGTGGGGGGAGAGAGAAGCAGGACACCATCCCCAAAGCCTCACAGCTGCCGTAGGGGGGCAAAGCGTGGGTGCTGGCTGGCAAGAGCCGACGACCTGGGCATCGGAGGGAAGGGAAGGAGGGCTTTCCGCAAACTTTTAGCTGCTCCTTAGCCACTTCTCTGACATGGATGGGTGCCGAGACTGCAGTGATCGGGAGGGAGGTCTACCTGGCGTTGGGGAAGGGGGTCTCCCAGCCGCCCCCCCCCCATTCACAAGGAGGGACTGGCGTGGACTTGCTTGCTGGCACGCGCAGGGGAGAATTTGAAGAATGACTTGGAAGAAGGGCTTTGGCATTCAGAGGGTGTGCTTAGATATCCTTCAGGTTTCCCCCTTTTTTTCTTTTCTTTTTTTCCTTTCTTCATCTTCTTTCTCAGTGTTTGTGATTATGTATGTCCAGGGAAGCTGTTTGTAGCAAAATCTCCGTGGGCTGAGAAACTGCTCTGGTGCAATGTTTTGGCTTGCCTTTCCGATTTTAGCAAAAGTGCTTGGGAATGTCCGTCTTTCCTTCGTTTCTTCCCTTCTTTCTTCCTTCCTTTCCTTCCCTCCCATCCTCCCTCCTTCATTTCTCCCTCTCTTCCTCTCTCTTTCCTCCCTCCCTCTATTCTAGCTCTCTCTCCCTCCTCCCACTCTTCCCCCCTTCCCTTCCTTTGTCTTTCCCTCTCTCTTTCCTCCCTTCCTCCCTTTCGCCCTCCCTTTTTTCCTTTTTCTACTCTCTCTCCTTCCTTCCTTCCTTCCTTCCTTCTTTCCTTCCTTTCTTCCTTCTTTCTTTCTTTCTTCTTTTTTCTTTTCTTCTTTCTTTCTTTCTTTCTCTTTCTTTCTTTCTTTCTTTCTTTCTGTCTTTCTTTCCTTCCTCTCTGCTACCCTCTAGTTTCCTTGTCTTTTTTATTTCCAGCTACCTTTACCGAAGTTCCTAAAGATGTGACGGTTAGGGAGGGAGATGATATTGAGATGCCTTGTGCATTCCGGGCCAGTGGATCTGCCTCTTATTCCTTGGAAATCCAATGGTGGTACCTTAAGGAACCAGCACGAGAGCTTGCACACGAATTAGCCATCAATGGTCCTGGCAGCAGAAGCAAGGTAATGAAAGAAAAAAAAAACCAAAAAAAACACCAACCCACTTCCCAAGGATGCAATTACATTCTCCCACTATTAATTAACATGATTTGCCACAGTCTGTCTGGTTGGTAGGAACAGAGAAGCAGCATTTTAGCAACCTAAGGAGAAAACTGCATTTTTGGGGGGGGGTTCTTTCTGCCTCGGGAGCTAATTCAGATACTCAGGTGAAGTAGAGAACCAACCCAGAGCGACCCTTTATGCAGTCATTTCCATAGGTGCTCAAAATAATTTTGGATCTGTGTCTGGTTTTTGAATGTTGAGTAGTGCCTGAAGGGTCCAAGGGTGTGTGAGATATCAAAGTTCAGAGGCCATATCCAGGACATGAGGTCACCAGCTAGACTCTTGTGCGCCTCTGGCTCTGCATTCAGACATTTCTGCTTATTCTGTATGTTACGGTTCCCGACAACCAGCGAAGGATATCACTGCAACATACGGTATTAGGAAGCCAATGATTTGCACCCTTGAGTGGACGGTCATTTCAATTTGTCCAGCCGAGATTCGTGGTTTCAGTTTTCAGAAGAGTTCGGGGAAAAGGTAAGCCATAGGCTAATGCTTCAAGCTGGATGCATCCACGGTAAAGTTTGCCAATCAGATTACAAATCACGCCAGGGGTGTCTTCACCATCCTTCCTGGCCCTGTGAATCCTCTCCAGTGTAGAAGGGTTTGACCCAGCCTCTAGTTTAAACATCTTTGGTACTGATGTGGTGAACGGGTAAGCTTCTAGAGATCGAGTGGGGTGTCACAGATTGACCGTGCTACTGATAACTAATGTTATTTCAGTGTCGTTCTGCTTAGGGTGGAGGCAGTCCAGCCATCTCATACACAGACACCACGTACTGTGAGATGCAAGCAATCTCTCTCAGTGAACGAGACCTAGGTTTTGTTTAGTGGTTAAGGCACCAGGCTTGAAACAGGAGACTGTGAGTTCTAGTCCTGCCTTAGGCGTGGAAGCTGGTTGGGTAACTTCGGTCCAATCATTCGGTAGACTGTGCGTTCTAGTCCCGCCTCAGGCATGGAAGCCGGTTGGGTGACTTTGGACCAATTATTCGGTAGACTGTGCGTTCTAGTCCCGCCTTAGGCATGGAAGCCGGTTGGGTGACTTTAGGCCAATCATTAGGTAGACTGTGCGTTCTAGTCCCGCCTTAGGCATGGAAGTCAGTTGGGTGACTTTAGGCCAATCATTAGGTAGACTGTGCGTTCTAGTCCCGCCTTAGGCATGGAAGCCAATTGGATGAATTTAGGCCAATCATTAGGTAGATTGTGCGTTCTAGTCCCACCTTAGGCATGGAAGCCGGTTGGGTGACTTCGGGCCAATCATTCGGTAGACTGTGCATTCTAGTCCCGCCTTAGGCATGGAAGCTGGTTGGGTGACTTTAGGCCAATCATTCGATAGACTGTGCGTTCTAATCCCATCTTAGGCGTGGAAGCCGGTTGGGTGATTTGGGGCCAGTCACACACTCTCAGCCCAACCCACCTCACAAGATTGTTGTAGGGAAAATAGAAGGAAGGAGTACTAGGTACGGTATATTCGCTTGAAAGTAGGATATAAAAATTAAAAAATAAAATAATTCAGGGGGATCCACTTTGATCATTTCTAAACTACACTGGGAAAGAACAGATGGAAAATAAAATGAATTCCTTGCACTATAGCATAAACACTGATTTCCGTCCATTCTCAGCTTCAGAATGAGAACATGATCCCATGCAAGAGACGATGCTCCAGAAAAATAGTATTCCAGAAATTCTTAATATTATTTCCACTGGCACATTTTACCTTCCTTGCTCTTTTTAGGGTTATTGTAGCTCTTTACTAAGAAAAAAAATTAGGGAAACGTTTTGGCGACATTTGGGTTGGTCCTAATGCCTTGTTTGTCCATTGTCTTGCCTTTCATCTAATCTAGATAGATGAAAGACAGACAGACAAACAGATATTAGATGAGAGATGAGATGGGTGGATAGATGGACAGACAGACAGATGGACAGACAAACAGAACTACTGTATATAGGCTACAATTAAATATTAAACGTTTAATTTAAATATCAATGCAAAATTAAAGCTGGGAAAATTCATAAGGTTATTGATGGTCCAAAATATGGAATATTAAAATAAATAAGACATATAAAATTATTGACAAATGTAAGAAAGCTATTAAGTAGCTGATGGATAGAATTATACTAATTTAAACAAGAGACAGTATATATTAAGGGAAAAAAGAGAGGAAATATTGGCTGTAATAGTTGGAAATTTGTATTAATAATATTTGTATGTAATGGAATTATTGTAACTCAGACACCATGTTGCTTTTCAAAGATACAATTGTAACATTGGAAAATTAGGAAAGTTTTAAACAAAAGAACTATATAGGCTACAAGTTCAATAAAGAGTAATAAAAATATGATTGAACTAGGCTAACATAATACGGTTGGAGTAGAGAGCTCCATTTGGTTACAAACTGCCCTTTGAATTATAAAAATATAATAAAGTGGGCAGTCGTTTTTTGTGTGCTGATCTTCATTCTTTCATAAAATGGGAATTACTTCAATACGGTAAGGGAGTGAGATGCAATCATCCAAATAGGCCTACACATTTTTCTTATTGTAGTGGTCCAGATATTGGATCAGGATTGGAAAGATCAAGTCTACTCTCATTCATGAAAATTCCTGGGGTGACTTGGGCCCAGTTAATATCTCTCAGCCCAATCCAAGCTACATGGTTGTTCTTGCAGGAAAGAAAAGAAAAGATATCCAGTATGTACCACCATTTGCTCCTGGAAGAAAGACAGGCTATAAACCTAACAAAAGTAACCAATAACAATTATTTAGTAAATGGCCTGGTGCTTTTTAAGAGGACATGTTTTTTCCCAAGACAGCATACTTTGGACCCTGAAATCAACTGAAGTCATAAAACAATGAATCAACAGCACGAAGTTGAACAGGAACAACATCAGAAATAATTTCATTCAAGCTCAGCCAGTCAGGATACAAAACTAAGAGCGAACTCATACATGTCGTATTCTTTCAGTGCCAAGGGTCCAGAACAAAATCTTATTTAGGGCGTATCTGAAGATCAACTAACCAATCAAACAGAAAAGGAGCTGATTTTATTTCCTGAAGAGGACATTTCATAATCAAAGGCCTATCTCTTCAAAGATTCTTCCCCATAACCAAAGAGAGCATCTACCAGGTCAAAAAAGCCAAGACGGTGACACGAAGCCTTCATAATCTATAAGGTGTCTGGCGCAAGCAGGGAGTTGGACTAGAAGATCTCTAAGGACCCTTCCAACTTTATGATTCTATGATTATTTTAAAACTGTAACACACACACAAACACACAAACTCATGGCCGCCTCTGCAGCCAAATCTTTCCTCCTCCTACAGGCCAAGGTAGTAATTTTTCTCAAACCTCCGTAAGCTTTAAAGGTTGACAGCAGCATTTTTGAATTGAGCCCAGATGTGAGCAGTCACCATGTCCAATGCAAAATTGTTTTAATGAAATCCAAATAATAAAAGATGACTAATAGGTCCTCCAAGGTAGTCATTATCTTAAAAGTCATATGCTTCTTTTTCAGAGCTTCCATTTCTAAAATGGGTGTTTTGCAAGCCTTTTTAAAAATGTGTGTGTGTGAATACATATACAGACAGATTTTATTATGATCAATTGAATATTGCAGCCCTTTCAACTGCTACTCTCACTACCAAAATGAGTCAAATGGATTTTTTGTTTGTTTGCCAGGGAACCTATATAAAGTTGACGAATAATAATTAAACAGATTTAAGTGAAAGACAGATATAGAAAGTTTTGTTTTTGTTTTCTTTTTAAGACGATGTTTGAATGGAATCTCATACTGCATGTATTTAACCATTATCAGTGTCTGTCCATCCATCCGTCCGTCTGTCCATCCATCACCCATCCATTTCTATCCGCAACATTTGTATTTAAGTTCTCATTAACTGAGAGGTTGGTTCTCAGACTGAACCCTATGTGGTTCTCCATTGTGTGGGAAGCAGATGTTGTCTTCTTTGCAAAGCCAATAAGCCAGAGATCTTAAAACTGCATTGCTGTTAGGCATGCATTAAATCCTTCCTTCCTTCCTCCTTCTTCCTTCTTCCTTCCTTCCTTCCTTCCTTCCTTCCTTCCTTCCTTCCTTCCTTCCTTCCTTCCTTCCTTCCTTCCTTCCTTCCTTCTTTCCCTCCCTCCCAAAATAAATCAGACCTAAAGGATTGGTTGTTGTTTGGAAAAAAAATATTCAATATGCAGATGATTCATTCTAGATATTAAAGAGTTGTGGGTTTTTTTCTCCCACTCTAAACTCAGTTGGGACTGTGCAAGTCCACCCTCCACCGGAGACATTGCGGGAGATCTCTGCAGAGGGATGATTTATGTCTTCTCTTGACATGTGATAATTAAATGTGTAGTCCAAGGGAAGCAGGTGAAGACTTCAGAGGCTTTTTCTTTGCAGCACTTGGAAGCAAAGCTCTGAGCTCAGCTAGGGTTTGAAGGGGCTCACTTGCCTTTAATAAATGAGCACCAGTCACAGCAAGGACTGATCAAGCAAAATCATCCATCAGCTCAATGCGAATCACTCACAAGAATGGATCTATCAGGAGTCAAACAGGGGTGTCCAGTGGGGTAGGGCAAGGAGACAGAAAAGTAAAGAGGGCAGTTCTGAGCTGCTGCCATTTTGGCATTTATTAACCCTCCCCCTGCCACTAGGACCCCCTGTAGAAGGGATATTAAAAAAAAATCTCTGAACAAAAATCTATCGATCCTTTAGATTCCCCCCAATATTAGAATATTGGGAGGTTTTGCACAAACACACACCCTGGACCCCAAAATGCATTCCAAAGGCAATGATCACTGTTCCAGGCGAAGAAGGGAAAAAAAGAAATTTTATGGAGGTGGGAATTCTTATTTGTCTTTGTGACTGGTGTACAAATTCACCGCCCCTCCGGCTGGCTCCAGCTGGTTCTCAGAAAATTGCATTCAGCATCCCCGCCTGGGTAAGATGCCATGAGAATTATACTGAACAGGTTCCGAGGGCTGCACTTCATTTGCATAGCTCCGCCCTGGCACCTATTCCTTGCTCATAGTACCTTGGGAGGCTCTGGCCTTGCAAATCAAGCTGTAGCCCTGGGCTGAGAATTCCACTCTATGCCAGTCTCCATAATCCTGCCACTCTAGGCTTTCTACTTGTCTCCTGCCAGATAGCAGAGAAGAGCAACAAAGATGATTAGGGGACTGGAGGCTAAAATGTATAAGGAACGGTTGCTGGAATTGGGTATGTCTAGTTTAACGAAGAGAAGGATGAGGGGGGGGGCATGATGGCAGTGTTCCAATGTCTCAGGGGCTGCCCCAAAGAAGAGGGAGTCAAGCTATTCTCCAAAGTGCCTGAAGGCAAGGAGCAATGGATGGAAACTAACCAAAGAGAGAAGCAACCTAGAACTAAGGAGAAACTTCCTGACAGTTAGAACAATTAACCAGTGGAACAACCTGCCTCCAGAAGCGGTGAATGCTCAGACACTGGAAGTTTTTAAGAAGAGACTGGACAGCCATTTGTCTGAAATGGTGTAGGATTCCTGCCTGAGCAGGGGGTTGGACTCGATGACCTCCATGGTCCCTTCCAACTTTATTATTATTATTATTATTATTATTATTATTATTATTATTATTATTATTATTATTATTATTATTATAATGGAGATACACCACCTTCATTGGGCAGTTCTTCAGATGCCTTTCCCTCTTCCCCCCTCTCCCCCCAGCCTTCTTCCTCAAACTTAGGGTTCCACCAGCCTTGGTGATTTCTCAAATTGTGCCTCAAATCTGACAGGGATGGGCTCTCCTTTACAAGTCTTGAAACCCAAGTCAAGTGGAAATCATGGCAGTTCCTCTCCCAACCCAACAGGAAGGCATCCAATCATGACTTTCGACTACTTCAGCAATGGGACTGGCAGTCTGAACATGAGAAAGATTGGTACATAACGCTGCAGCATCAACCTAGCATGGAAAGCGGAGGCAAGATGGGTCAGAATGCAAATGAGTGTTTCAGCTTTGAAACCCCATGCACCCCACAAAGTCTCTGACTGAAAGGTAATCCTCTGGAGCCTTCGACCACCCTTGAGATTCCAGTTTTGCTCAGGTTGATTTGCAAAGCATACAAGCGCCCAGCCACCAGCTGCTCTTCGAGTGGGGTGGCATGTTAAGAGAATGGAATCGGCAAGGAAAATAACAACTCCACATTGTTGCGAGACCTTCTTGGGATGCATAGAACGCGCTGAGCCAAGTCAAGCTTGACTGACTCTCTGTAGTAGAGTCAAATCTGACAGGGATGGGCTCTGCTTGTCTAGTCTTGAAGCCCAACGCAAGTGGAAATCATGCGAGTTACTTTCCCAACACATCTGGAAGGCATCCAATTGGAAAAAAGTTGTCCTAAATGTTAAGATCTAAAAGGAATCACGTGAAAAGGATTATTGAATGGAGATTGCATTGAACTGTGGGGCTGAGAGGTATAGCTTGTTGTTCATATCTGTGGCCCAGTTCAGAGTTAACAACAGCAATAGCACTTAAACTGACATGCTGCTCCATCGTGCTTTACAGCACTCTCTGAGCAGTTTACAATGTAAGCATTATTTGCACATTGCCCCCGACAATCTGGGTCCTCACTTTACAGACAGCAGAAGGATGGAAAGCTGAATCAACCTTGAACCCCGTCAGGATCGAACTCCTGACTGTGAATAGAGTTAGCTTGTAATGCTGCATTCTAACCACAGCTCTTAGTACAATCTTATTAGTTTGGCTTTGGTACCTCCTTAAGGCACCAGCTATGAAGGGGGAAAGGGAGGAACACAACATGTTTTTCCCCTCTGTTGCAACTTTGGACTGCTAGAAAGGAAGGTAGATCATATCTAAGTTCTCAGAGCATCTCAAGGGAAAGAAATAGTGAATATCCAACCCACTTAATCAAAACCACTTCCCTTCCTTTTTTTTTACATGTGTCACATATAAAAAAGAGGTGGGGTCTTGAACTCAGCGCTGCAGCTGCCATCTTGACTTTTTTGACCCTGCTCCTGATAAATTTGGACCAGCTAGACAGTCTCTCTCTCTCTCTTAAGCCTGCTCCAAATTTGGATCCTGCTCCAAATTTCTGCACTATTTCAAGCCAGAAAAAGAAATACCATGACAGATTTATTTTATTGGAAAATAATGTAATTCTTCTGGAAAAATTACAAGAAATGTATCAGCCATTTATACTTGGATGCTGCTGTGAAGCCTTTTTTTTATTATTAAGAAACACTGACACCGACTTGCAGCTGATTGAAACTGACTTCACCGAGAATGATGCTCTTAGTCTGAATTAGCTTTGCCCTCTGCCAATACAATTGTAGCACAGCCAGTTGCGATCAAGGAAAATTGCATGCTTAATGCAGTGTCCATGTTTTTTTCGGATCAAAACAATATCTCCAAACATTAAGTACAAATTTATTATAGGATGCAGAATATCTGAACTGTGTGCATTTTGGCATAATTTCTTCAGTGTTCATGCTTTTCTCATTGCAGTAGTTACATTGGTGCAATTTTTTTTTTAAAGACTCACACCACTGTAGCTTAAATGAGCCTATGCTTTCACGTTCACTGATCATACTGGGTGGTTTTCTCTACTAACCTATTGCTGTTTGTCTCTGTGTTTGTTAAATATGCTGCCTGTCCTCTTAAAACATCCCCAGATGGTATACAAAACTATACATGTATAGCTTTGCTGCACAATAATTTTTAATCATCCAATAAGAAACTCCACGGAAAATTCATCTATCAGCCAGAAACTAAAATGCTTCCAGCATCAATTCAAGGGACTGTTTCATCTTAGATTTAGTATTATGCCTTCAGTGAGATGGGTGGCATACAAGTTTGATAAATAAATTATTCCACAAAATCTGCTTAATTGTCGCAGCAATTGGCTGATCTTGTCTGAACATACAAAGTAAGTGAGGTTGCACCTGGTTAGGATTAGATGAGAAACTACTAAGAAGTACCCAGGTTGATTAAAAAGTCATAAAACACCCTAAAAGAAAGTGGTAGGACAATTTCTAAGATAGCCAAGGGTCTCCCACTCGTGCAGAAGATTGGACTAGATTATTCTATGTTCTAAGCTTCAGCATCCTATGGATTTTGTAGCTTTTCTCAGCATGACAAAAACAATGTTGTGACGATGAACCACAAACCTGGAGGGTGAGCAATTTTGTAACCCATGTGGAAAAGGGGCCCCGGCTTGTATTATGATGCCACAATGTTGCTTTCCTCAACCTTGCCCCCTTTGTGGATGCCCCTACCTGGAAAGGTCCATGAAATCTCCAGGAGCTGAGCTTGACCTGAACAGGCTTTTGTCTTCAACAATGCGAGAAACAATTCCATAGTTGAGGCATCTCCACTGAGAAGGACCTACCTGGATTCACATCCTATGGGCCAGAATCAAGATGGGACCACAAACAGGGCTTCCACTGGCAGGTCTCAGCCCAACAGTTGGTTGACAGTAGAGAAAACGGGGACACTTGTGACTGTGATTGAAGGCCCTGCCTTTGTTTTGACACGTTGCCTTCACTCCTCCGCATATTTTTAAAGCTTATTTCGATGGGTTAGCTCAGTGCTTGAAAGAGCCTATTTTCGATGGCTTTGACAACAGACCTGCAGGGTGGGAAGGAAAGCTAAATAATGTATAAAGACATTAAAATGATTGCATGGTAGGAAAATTGATTTTCAAAGCTAATATTTGAATGCCGGGTCTTCCCCAGCTCCTGCCATGGCAATTTCACATGCCTGTTGGAATTGTATTTGCTTGAAATATAATAAACTAAGGAATTGCTAGTTCTTCTTGCCCCCAGTCGCTGCTTTCTGGTAGCAAAAACTATATCTACATGACAGGAATCTCCTCAAGTCAGCTGTGGTTCACCCAGTGCGTTAAGAGTGTACTCTCAGTCAAAATGAAGTAGTCTGTCATTAACCTTGATAAAAGGATTCTGAAAAGTATTATCCACTCCATCTTTGTGGAGAGGGAAAAAAGTGTTCTTCTTGGTCTTTAGAAATCTCCTGTTTCATTTTTCTCCTTTCTTCCTTTTTTTTTTCTCTTTCTTTTTCAGGCAACCAGTAAAGACGCAACGAAGATCAGCGTAAGTACCTGTCAAAATGCATGCGTGGCGTCGTCTGTCTAAAATATTGAAGTGGTTCCTCCAGGTTAGCTTTCTACCTGCCTGGAAACAGACAAAGAGGCATCAGGAGTCATTTAACACATTTAGAAATGACTGCCTTTCTATCAAATTCATTGCACGCTCATGATCAATTAAGGGTGAGGCCGTTATAATCAGCTAATTGTCCTGCTGATTGAGCAGAGTCTATCTTTGGCATGTAGATAGGGGGCAGTTTGGAAAAGTCCACCTTCCTCCTGGAGCAGTGGTTCTCAACCTGTGGGTCGGGACCCCATTTGGGGTCAAACGACCATTTCACGGGGGTTGCCAAACAAGGCTGTCCGCCATTTTTTCCCCTTTTCTTTGGCCACGCCCCTGGCACCTGGTGATGTATAAGTGGTTGGGGGTCACCACAACGTGGGGAACTGTATTATGGGGTCACGGCATTAGAAAGGTTGAGAACCACTGTCCTGAAGTCTGTTGGTCCTCAGCTAGTAGAGAGTCTGTTGGTCCTCAGCTAGTAGTCTGTTGGTCCTCAGGGTTTCTCAGCATGTAACAGACAAAGCCAATGGACAGTTTAGGAGGCCACATCTCCCAGGAGAACTTCAAATGGAGGTGGAGATAAGTCATTGTCAGGAGGAGCCAGGGTCAAAAGAAAGCATGGGTCTGTCTCACCATTCTCTCTTTCTCTCCAGTCAGTTGGAAAAGGGTAGATCATTTTGCCACAAGCTTGCATGAATGACTTGTGGAGAACATCTGAAACCAAACCGAGAGCCATATGAATTTAGATCAAAGGGTTTCATATGCAGGTAGGGCCACAGGCTGCCCACCTTCTGGCCTGAGAGGCAGGTTACCATTCGGAAGAATGAAATACTCTCTTCTTTCCGAGCTTTTACCACTTCGAGATGCAGCTGGGAATTCTACACGTTTGGATGAAAACGCTTAGGTTTTGTTTCAATGGCAAAACATCTCCCCATTCATGGAGAAGACTCCAAAGGGGAACATTAAGGACAAATGGCCCCACTGTTTTTACTCACATCCAAAGGCATTTTAAGAGTTTGCTAAGGTTCCATTTTGTACTTAGAGTCTGAAGCAGATGGTTGGAGAGCTGGTAGGACAGGTATGGAACACCACAGAGCTAAGGTGTAGCCTACAAGGATTTGTAGTTTGGAGGGGCTAGGTTTAATGGACATTCTTAGTATCTCCATCAAGCAATTCTTTTATTCTCTCTCCTTCCTTCCTTCCTTCCTTCCTTCCTTCCTTCCTTCCTTCCTTCCTTCCATCCATCCATCCTGCCTTCCTCCTTTCCTTTCCTTTCCTTTCCTTTCCTTTCCTTTCCTTTCCTTTCCTTCGGTCTTTCTGTCTTTTCTCTCTCACACACATGACAGCTAAATAATTGATATAATGTCAACTTTAAGTTTGTGGTATTTGTCATGGTGTGGAAAAGCTTCCAAACTGGTTTTCTAACAAAATGACCGCATTCTCTTTTGGACATGCTGGGTGAGCTAGCATGGTTTTGTCCCATGGCTGATTGCACCTTAGATTTCAGAGGCTAATCCATCATTCACCCACCTCGGTCAAGTTCATTCAGACTATATTACAATGGAACTACGCTTGTTGATTTGAAACAGCCTTCTGTCATGTATGGCCTCTTTGTCCTACTCTAAGGTGCAGCTTAGTCGTGCTAGCTACACCCTTCCAGATCCTGCTTGTGAAGTTATGATCTATTCAAATGATGATGATGATGATGATGGTGATGGTGATGCCTTCAAAATTGAGGTCTCCCATTTTTTTTTCATCTAAAGACAACCATAACTACTTAAAATCCAGGTTTAAGTGGACAGCAGTTAAACAAAAACTAGATTTTATTTTATTTTACATTTACATTAAATTAACCAGATGCAGTTGATAGGTTACCGACTGAATAGGGTGAAGACGTGACTGAATTGGTCTCTTCTAGCTGTGTGATACTATAATTCTGTGATTTCCCACAAGGAATTTCAATTTTCCCTTATTTTCTTTTTTCTTTCCATCTCTTTCTCCTTTTCTTTCCTTTTCTTTTATTTTTGGAGGGGGAAAATGTTGTGTGTGTGTGTAAGAGGGGTTGGCTGGCTGAGATTGTTATGAGCTTTGCAGAGGATTAAATGCAGACAGTGTATTGGTGTTTTAACGAGGAGAAAGGAGCCCTGGATTTAGTCTGTGGAGCAGAAGCACAGAATGAGTGTCTGGATGTGATTGGAACCCTTTCTTTCTACAAAAGGATGAAGACAGGATTAAGAAAGCCCAGCACGTTGGGGCTGATATTTTGACAGGTGATATATTTTAAATGCATTGTTGCTGGAAAGGGGGAATGGCTAGGATTAACGGCCCCGGCTGTTGACTGTAGTGGAGAGATGCATTTAATTAAGGGAAGAAGGAAATGGAATTAGTAGCTGATTTTGGACGAGAGAACCCGTGCTTAGAAATAGTCACTGTGGGCTGGAGAAATAGAAATGGACAGAAGCAAAAGACGAACAATGGCGAGCCATTTCATTTGGGAGAAGGCCAATTCAATTTGGAAGACGAAGAGCACCACCAAAAGGCATCATACATTCACTTAAACCAGAACAATCAAAGGATGATTTGATTTTTCAAGGCATTGCTTTAGAAACTCCATCATGAACATTGCTTGGCGTTTGTTTTTTGGCCTCTGTAAGCCTGTCATTGCCATTTTCAAATCTTGATTCTGTGCCTTAAAGGCCACATGGGAATATATTTGTCATCTGTTTCATAAATCACAATTAAACAAGCCATGGCTTAGCAATAATATGTAAAGCTAAAATGTAACCAAGAGAAATAAAGTTCAGGCGCCTTCAGAATCTTTGTCTTCTCCTTGCAAGTCCTGATCCAGGTTCTTTCCTGGGCTGGGACCATTTATGATCCTGTGAGAGGGGAAAAAAAGAGCTTTTCTACTAGATATGGGGTGTTTTGTGGAATGCATTAGGGTTTTCAACTTTTCTGATACTCAAACAGATTCTGAGATTGCGAAGCTATTTGTTATAGCTTTCAGCGAAAATTCAGGTTAGTGCTACAAATCCTTCTCTGATTTATCCATCCAGGAAGGCGCATTTAGATCTTCATCCACTGAAAACCAAACCTCCTTGAAACCATAATCATTTGCTGTTATCAGAAGGAGGAAAAGAGGCTTTAAAATTGGGGAGCAGATCCGAATGCAAGATGAAGGTTGAAACGTTTAAGAACAATCCACAATTACATAGAATGGATGGCAGAGTTCTCAGTCAGGTTTCCTGGAGAGACTCATACATTGAATTGGATCCTATGAACAAAATGCCAGAAAGGCTATTGGAGTGTGATTTGAGATGCATTGCTAGAAGCTAGCTTATTTTCAAATCATGTGATTACAGAATGCGGATCAGAGGGTGGATTTTGCAGAGGGATTTACCGTATCGCTCCATAAAAATGGCTGGGAATTTGAGAATTAGAGTGCCAATCAAACCAGAAGGCAGGAGGGTAGAACTAGAAAGAGGCATAGCCTTATGGAAACAACTACCTGTGTAGAAATCTACTATATTAGCAAGACTAACTTTTTTTTCTTGCTACCTCTTCCAGCCCTTGAGACCAACCTACTGTACGATTAGTTGATCTTTGGTCTATGAAATGGACTTTGAATTGCACAACATGTTGCCTGACTGCTTAATTGTCTCGCCTCATTAAATCTTCCTTAGATTTGACTGCACAGAGCAATTTATAACTAAAAAGAAAGCTATGGGGAAATAAGGCCATCTCCCCCTCTCAGCCACAAAAAGTAGAACATGTACTAGGACAGATGCATTGTGGGATCAGCTGCAAAAGGGAGTAGGGTCACGACACAGAAGAGGAGGGGCAAGTGACAACTTGATACAAGATGTCATGCCTGGGAGATTCCATGGGAGTTCTGGCTGTGCACCCAGCAGGTCCGATGCTCAACACGTGATAGCTTCAAAAAGATTTAACAACCAATGGAAGATCAGAAGCCCATCAGAAGCCCATCAATGGGGTTCCCACTAGAATGGTTTGGATTCAAAGGTCCATAATATCTGGAGGGTGCTGGATGGAGGAGGGTTACTAGGGAACTGGGTTCATGGTTAGAACTGAATCATGTAGGCATGGGACAAACTGGGAGAAGAGGCTTCTGTCCTTCTCTCTCTGCTTTGCTTGTTGCACTGCTGGGAAGATGACCTTACTCTCCACACCCCACAAGCTTTGTTCTGCCTCTCCCTAAAGCAGTGGTTCTCAACCTGTGGGTCGGGACCCCATTTGGGGTCGAACGACCATTTCACGGGGGTCGCCAAACAAGGCTGTCCGCCATTTTCCCCCCTTTTCTTTGGCCAAGCCCCTGGCACCCAGTGATGTATAAGTGGTTGGGGGTCACCACAACATGGGGAACTGTATTATGGGGTCGCGGCATTAGAAAGGTTGAGAACCACTGCCCTAAAGAAAGTGTTTTTTATCTGTTGTCTACCACGAAGCAAGTTCGAGTTCAAGCAGGCATAGGCGAGAGCACCTTTGGGTGTTAGCTATGAACATCAAGGGGTCTTGCTTTGCCTCCGGTGGCTTCCCCTTGGCTTCAGGATGGAGCCTCCAGAGAGGATGAGAGTCAGCCCTGTTGTTGCCTTTCCCCTTTCCTAATCTGTCGTTCTTAGCCCACAAACCCAACAGGGCAGGGTAGAAAATCTCCAAGGAGGAGATAACCCAAGGGTGTGTTGCCCTCTGATGGCTGCAGAGGCTTCGCCACGCTTGCTACCCTCCCGCTCGCCGCCCCGACGACACCCCACAGCGGGCCCACCACGCCTAAGTAACCTCTTCTTTCCCCTCTTTTCCAGACGGTGCGCGTCCAGGGCAACGACATTTCGCACCGGCTGCGGCTGTCAGGGGTCCGGCGCCAGGACGAGGGGGTCTACGAGTGCCGGGTATCGGACTACGGCGACGAAGACACTCAGGAGCATAAAGCCCAAGCGGCGTTGCGGGTCGTGGCGCGCTTCTCGCCTCCCGACGTGCAGGCGGCCGAGGCCGTCTCGCACATCCAGAGCAGCGGCCCGCGGAGAAGCAGCCCGTCCGGGCGAGCCACCGCCGAGCCCGGCCTGGGAGACAAGCGCCTCCTACCGGCGCAGGGCGAAACCGCCGCTGCGGCCGCCGCTTCCTCTTCTCTCTCCTCCTCCTCCTCTTCTTCTTCTTCCTCGGCGTCTTCGGCGTCCTCCGCCGCCTCTTCCTCCGCCTCTTCTTCCAGCCCCGCAACTGTGGCGGCGGCGGCGGCGGCAGCAGCAGCCTCGTCGGCCTCGCCTCGGCCGGGCTCCGCGATCGTCCTCCCGCAGCAACGAGGATCAGGTAGGTGGAGGCGCAGCGGCACCCGGTGGGGAGTGGCGGAAGCGCAGGGAGCTGTCCGTGGTGCTGAGCGCCGGCATTGACTTGGCTGCCCACAAAGACGCGTCCGGACGCCCCTTGCTCTGGGTCAGTTCAGCCGGCAGGCTAATAGTTCCTCTTCTGCTCCGTTGGGTTTCTACTTGAGCTCGTCTTTGGCGACGTGTAAAATCCTCCTCTGAGGGTTCAGCTGAACGTTCATATTGTTTTTATGCACTTCTAGCGACGCACAGGGCATTGCCTGCCACCACAATCTTGGGGAATGGGTTAAGCTGGGAAGAGAGCAACTGGCCCCAAAGTCATCCTATGAGTTTTGGTGGATTTGGGTGGAATCTGGGTCTTCTAGTCCAACACTGTAACCCTAATTCACCTTGGCCCTCCATGTGGACTGAATACATTTTCCCAATAGTCTCCCGTTCAAATAGGTAGCCTAAAATAATTCTCAATGCACGTTTTCTTCCAGAGGTTGTATTGCATTCAATTTCAAAGAATTTAGCCTGATGTAGACTGAAAATATTTAAAGGACAAAAATTGGGCATTGCTTCTGATAAATTGTCTTTGGGACAAATGCTCTTTTGAGAGAAAATTGAAAGCAAATGTTCTTTTTGAGGAAAAAATATGATTCTTTGAAGAATGAAAACATTTTTATGTGATTGGATAGTGTTTTAATACTTAGAGTATATTTCTGAGTATTTCTTTCAATGAAGCTCTTATGCCATGAATATTGCCATTGAAAACCTCTTAGTTGATCCAAGAGAAAGCTTTGTATTTCTCCCAGCAGGGCAGTAAGTGAATGTAATGCTTTAAAAGGTCAACTGAATACTTGCCTCCCTAGGATTCACTATAGAAATAATATAGACTCATTGTACGAAGAAAACTCTATTACAAATTATTATATAAAGCATTTCTCCAAAGCACTATGTAGCATTAATCAGTAATAGTAATTATAGCAGAGAAGCCACCTTGTTCTCTCACAGAAGCTATTGCAACAGTTCTATGGATTTATTTTCAAATATCAGCAAGATCATAATTATATGACATCACTCTATTTGAATGTATCTTTAGATTGTTCGTCATTCTTCCTCCTCCATATTTATAATACAGGTAGTCCTTGACTTACAACAGTTCATTTAGTTACCGCTCAAAGTCACAACCGCACTGAAAAATGATCATCTGATCAAAATTCAGATGCTTTGACAACTGGTTCATATTTATGACCTTTGCTGTGCCCAAGATCATGGGATCCCCTTCTGTGACCTTCTGACAAGAAAATCAAGGGGGAAGCCAGGTTCAACTAACAACCAGCTTACCAACTTATCAACTGCAGTGATTCACTTAATAATGGTGGCAAAAAAGTCATAAAATGGGACAAAACTCACTTAATGGAAATGTTGGGCTTAATTGCGGTCATAAGTCAAGGACTACCTGTATGAGTAATGCTATATTTTAGGTCCATTACAAATATTGCAAGGAGGAAAATGTCTTCTTGTTAAGGCATTCAAAAGCTGTGGTGACACAGTGGTTAGACTGCAGTATTGCAGGCTAACTCTGCTCAATGCCAGCAGTTCAATCCTGACTGGCTCATGGTTGACTCAGCCTTCCATCCTTCCAAGGCCGATAAAAAGAGGACCCAGATTACTGGGGGCAAGATGCTGACTCTGTAAACTGTTTAGATAGAGCTGTAAACCACTGTGAAGTGGTATATAAGTCTAAGGCTATTGCTATTGCTATTCATTTAGCTGTGCTTCTAGTGATAAGCATGTTTTATTGGGGGAAATAAATTTCATAAGTCTTCAAAGAGGTTTATTCTGAAGTGTGATTAGGATTGGAATGTAAAATTTAGACTGAGATTTCAGAATAATAGAAGAGAAATAGGCACAAGGTAGAAATGTTTAGAAAAGAAAACATTGTTGTTACTGGCTGCGTTGGATCTATATCCTTAGCTTATGTGCTCTAAAAACGAAAGGTGAGATTTGTAAGGATCGGGTTATCTCTTCATTTCTCTCACTAGAGGGATGCAATCTATGTATTTTTTGTGTCTATTTGATTGTTTGTCATCTTCAGCTGGTGAAACAGTGCATCATAGGGAAACAACTTTTAAAACAATATATCTCAATAGGGCTAACTTACAGAATGCAACCAAAATCAAGTCGGCAATAAGCATTGGAACTAGAAATCACATGACTAGTTGTCTACGGAAGTTGTCACACTTCTGTGCAATTGAAATTTAGGAAAGTTGTGATGGCTTCAGTGGACAGTCACAGCCAGGTGAATGCCAACTGTCACAAGGAAGGTCAATGGGGAAGCCAGCGGAAAGTTGGAAGTTGCTTCCATTCCCACTACTTTTTGCCTCCCCTTAGTTATCTGTTTAGGCATGGAAATATCTCTGAAACTACGAGCTAGATCATGAGTTGTCTAGCAGCTTATAAAAGTGTTGAGTGTTCTAATAGCAAGTCCTAAGAGTGGGACCCACCGTCCGTGTCAGCACAAAGTGTGTAGAGCAGAGATGGACCTTCATCTTGTAGTTGAAGAACACACATTTTTGAGGTGGGAGGAGAATATTTAGAAGATAATGGTATATACCTCATGACCTACAAAAGGCTTAGGCCTTTAGGATAGTTGCTCCAGATAGAATCTACCCACCCAAAGAGAGGGTGCCATGAATACCCACTCCCTGAAAAATCATGTCAGATATGAAAGTCCGGGTCCACACATGAAGGTTCAATTAAATTAAATTAAAATGATTTGTCACTGTAGCCTAGGCACAAGAATCTTCTCAACTAACAGTCACCACCTGGTTAGAGTTAGATAAGGGTCAATGGCACTCAAGGATTGTTGGCTTTAGTTTGCTTGTGGCTATATAGGGATTCTAGGCTGATCCCTCTTTTCACCCTGCCCCCAGGTTCTGCCACTCTTTCTTCCACATCATAGGAGTAGGACAGCAACAGCAATAACAACAGCTCCCTTTTTTATTTTTTGCAATATTCAGCCTTCCCAGGTCTAAATGAGCCCACCATTTTATCATTCCTAAAAGAATGTGGTACTTGTTCTTTTCTGAAAACACAGTAAATGTGATATGTTCTTTTATCTGGTCCTCCCACACGTATTTATTTAGAATATCGTAAGCCACCTAGAATCTAGTAAGTAGTGTTTACTGAGAGGGGAGGAATTTATGCAAATAAATAAATCTATAAAATAAAAGTGAACAACTAGAGACACCCTCCCTCCCCCAAAGGTTTACATTTAGGCAGCCTAGCCTAACCTGAGGATGTATTAAAGCTGAGGTTTTCATTACCCAAAGTAAAGGTGTGTTTCCTTCCTTGTGGCATTATCACCTCTGCTTTTTTTATTTTTCCATCCCATCCATCAATTTCCAAGTCATCCATTTTCTGGGACAGATCTGCCATTTCAATACTATGGGGCATGGATATGCATGACTGACAGTTCTTGAAGAAGATGTTTCTATCAAAAAAGTGAAGTGGGCTGTTGAAAATAGAAGTTGCATGCAGAATATGAGAGTGAGTAGTGGTGGAACAGTGGAAGTGGGATTTTCGGTAACTTGACAGACTACAGGCACAACCATAAATACAATATCTCCATTGGAAAAATATTTGTAAAAGTTGAAATAGTCCTCCATATAGGCCTCTTGGTAGAAACCATGGCAACAACACAGGCATCCCAACATGTTTGCCAGAATGCTACAGATTTAGTCATTTGCATCGGTCACATCCTGATGCAAATACGGGACATTATTTCTATCAGTTACATAATGATGTCATGACTGGCATGATGTCACTTGCCTTCTCTGCAAATGCCCTTGTTTCTCAGGGTCAAATATTAGAATAACAAGAGTTGGAAGGAACTGTGGACATTTTCTAATCCAACCCCCTGCTCAAGCAGGAGATCTACCATTTCAGACAAAATGGCTGTCCAATCTCTTCTTAAAAATGTCCAATGTTGGAGCACCCACAACATCTGGAGTCAGGCTACTCTATTAATTCATTGTTGTAGCTGTCAGGAAATTTCTCGTTAGTTCTTGGTTGGTTCTCTCCTTGATTAGTTTCCATCCATTGTTTTTTGTCCTGCCTTCTGGTGCTTTGGAGAACAGTTTGACCCCCATCTTGTTTGTGGCAGCCTCTTATATTCTAGATGAGTAGCAACCTTCAAGAAACTCTTTAAAGGGACTTTTGGATGCTTTGGCTCAGCCTCCAGATCAGGTGTATCAAACTGCCAGCCCATGGGCCGGACACATCACATGGAAGCCGTGCCCACTCTGTTGCTGGCAATGGCAAAACAGCTCCAATATGTTGCATGACATTGCGAGTTTGACATGTCTGCTCCAGATATTCAATACGGCACATATTGAGATTCCAACTCAGCTGGCAGCCAAGGGGTGTTTGTCTGCAAAGGTATAAGGTCTTGTTCACCTGCAGGCCTTTTGGACAGACAATTTCTGAGGGCTTCTAGATGGAAGTATGTTCAGAGGTGTGTTCTGGAGACATAGCATAACTACCTGCCGTTTATAGCAGATGGTGCAACACAGTGCCTTGCATGCACTGGTGCATCCTGATTACCTTGTTTCTGACTTTCCCAAGTTATGCTTCTTAACTTAGAAAATATATTCACCAGCTGTTTCTTAAACTGTAATTAGGAAGTCTCTGATGATTGCTTATTCCAGTGGAAAACAGTGGAAAATCCCAAAGAGAGCAAAACCCATTATTTGCTGTTGGTATTAGTCCTAGCCATGGTAAGACATGGAGGAGAGGACCTTCTGGAAGATCTGATAGACAGGGGTGAAGAAGAGATAGTCCTGGAGGTAACTTGGGTTCAAACTATATACAGAAAAGATGCTGAGACCCTAGAAAGTACGCAGAGAAGAGCAACCAAGATCACCATCTTTGTTGCTCTTCTCTGCACACTTTCCAGGGTCTCGGCATCTAGCTTGCGGGATCCAAGCTAGGCTGGTC